ATTCGCTCAATTTGAACATTCAACATTTGCTAGACGCTTCCAGCATGAAAATGTGCCCCATTTGTTAAATCCTAGCAGTTGGCGTGAGAAATGTTTTGCGTAGTCCATTTCGCGATAACTTGCAGACAGATAACTTACAGACAGATATCAGTGGTCTGAAACTTACACATTGGATCAACTCTTGAGTAAAATTGCCCTGACTGTGGAACTTTTGATAATTCTTTGGAAGGTATTCTCTGCAGCACCGAAGGTACGAAAGGTTTTCGTGTCATTTTTCACCCGTATTCGAACAGAAATAATTTATCCATCCTTCAGAAGAAACCACTCAAAAGCGTCATCTTTAACACCGGCGGACTTTCGAATTCGGGTCGTGATTGCGTCCAATCAAATGCAGCAAATCACAATCTCATCTGATAACAGTACACAGATATTTATTGATGGAGTGGGAAGATTCGTGAATACTTTGGTGAAGATTTTGTCTTGTAGGTGAGGCCAGTCTCAACGGAAACCGAGAAGCATTTCGCGGCTGATTCGTTTTTATTGGGACTTATCAACAGTTCGAATCTCACGAAACTCCAGACAGATTCAGATTTGCAAACACCCGACCAGTTGAGATCACCATAGCGTATCCTTATTTGGATGCAAGTTGATTGAATGATTACATTGGTACTGCTCATTATCGGATAGCAAAACCTCCACTGTTTTCTCCCACGAGAACCACTGTGCTCTTATGCTACAACGATCTACCGCTTACTGCTTCCGCCTTCTACGTTCGTATCAAGTGGACCTAATAAATTCTGCCAGTGGTCTCTAATGGTCAGGTGATTTGACCCACCCCGCAATGAGGCAAACTGACACGCCAGAGTTAGTCACTGTAATATATTAATGCACTGTTGATGATGGCCATAATACAATTCATAAGGTAGATGCACTAATAAGAGTTTTTGGTAGAGTTGACAATGGTGGGATGCCATACGTATAAAAAAAATACGATGCACAATGGGAGAAAGTCAAAAGAGGAGCTTATCGTCTGTGAGAGTTCCTTGGTGTTTTCTCCGCAGTATGGCTGCTACACGTGTCTCAAAATTGTCCGTATACTCGTGGAGAGTGGTCGACGTCCTGCGCCGTGCGTACATGCGAGCGAGCGAGCCTGTGTGCTGTGTTCGATTTCCCTGTACGTAGGTCCGTTAGCATGTGCGTAGGCATGTCAGCACATGAGTAGTTGTAACGCTCACTAGACAGTGCAGACATTCGACGTTCAATGAGTCACCTTAATGTGACGCGGTTTGTGGGCTAAACGGTCAAGTACGTGGGTGACGGGGTAGCCACAAATACACTGCTTCAAAAACTTGACGGATAGTCAAATCAACCGCGAGTTTCGAACGAAACAAATCAGCTAGGGCTAACGGTATAGATTGATTCCAGCAATCTGTTGAACCACGTCGAGTTACGCGCAAAACCCCAAAAGCCAATTCTTTCAAGTGGAGGTTTATCTACAATTGCGGTACTATAAGTACAATAATAAAATGATAAAGCTTTACAAACCTCAAATCGTGGGACTATGCCGGCTTCTATACACCGGCTTAGGAACTGCCGGGTCACTAACGGGTCATAAAGTCCACGCCGACGCGGAGCCACGTGTTTACAAACTAACGAAACCACGTGTGAACTTAAACGACACGTCCGATGACAAGGTCAAAGAACGGTTTATGTTCAGGTAAAAAACAACAAGGGTGGTATAGGCACAGACCAAAATAACAAAAAAGGGGAATCGCGTTGTACAATATAAAAGGTAGAAGAAAGGAATCAACAAACGGTTCCTCAGCTGATGGAGTTTCTACTCATCGTCTACTGATGAGTGAATATGGAAGCGCCTCAAATTCAAGCCCCTACTGTGCCATTTGCAGGATGTTAACAATAACATTGACTGGGCTTCATTAGAGGATATTTCAGTGCTGCAAACAAAATTTTGGGTTCAAAATCCCTAGCTGAAGGTTTCTCCTGGGGTTCTCTCCTTTTAATTGAGAATAATTGGAACCTTCATCATACAGTTTTCGCTGAATTAAAAGTGTGCGTGGGATGTTACGTTCGCGTCGTCGGATTCCGAATACTTCAAACACACGAGGGCACTCATATTTATTAAGAAATATTAGGTGGGCGTGAAGAGATCTTGCGATATCTCGGTAGCGTCCAACGTTGTAAACTCCAGTTATAACGATCAGCAACCACCCTCAAAATTGTCCGTATACTCGTGGAGAGTGGTCGACGTCCTGCGCCGTGCGTACATGCGAGCGAGCGAGCCTGTGTGCTGTGTTCGATTTCCCTGTACGTAGGTCCGTTAGCATGTGCGTAGGCATGTCAGCACATGAGTAGTTGTAACGCTCACTAGACAGTGCAGACATTCGACGTTCAATGAGTCACCTTAATGTGACGCGGTTTGTGGGCTAAACGGTCAAGTACGTGGGTGACGGGGTAGCCACAAATACACTGCTTCAAAAACTTGACGGATAGTCAAATCAACCGCGAGTTTCGAACGAAACAAATCAGCTAGGGCTAACGGTATAGATTGATTCCAGCAATCTGTTGAACCACGTCGAGTTACGCGCAAAACCCCAAAAGCCAATTCTTTCAAGTGGAGGTTTATCTACAATTGCGGTACTATAAGTACAATAATAAAATGATAAAGCTTTACAAACCTCAAATCGTGGGACTATGCCGGCTTCTATACACCGGCTTAGGAACTGCCGGGTCACTAACGGGTCATAAAGTCCACGCCGACGCGGAGCCACGTGTTTACAAACTAACGAAACCACGTGTGAACTTAAACGACACGTCCGATGACAAGGTCAAAGAACGGTTTATGTTCAGGTCAAAAACAACAAGGGTGGTATAGGCACAGACCAAAATAACAAAAAAGGGGAATCGCGTTGTACAATATAAAAGGTAGAAGAAAGGAATCAACAAACGGTTCCTCAGCTGATGGAGTTTCTACTCATCGTCTACTGATGAGTGAATATGGAAGCGCCTCAAATTCAAGCCCCTACTGTGCCATTTGCAGGATGTTAACAATAACATTGACTGGGCTTCATTAGAGGATATTTCAGTGCTGCAAACAAAATTTTGGGTTCAAAATCCCTAGCTGAAGGTTTCTCCTGGGGTTCTCTCCTTTTAATTGAGAATAATTGGAACCTTCATCATACAGTTTTCGCTGAATTAAAAGTGTGCGTGGGATGTTACGTTCGCGTCGTCGGATTCCGAATACTTCAAACACACGAGGGCACTCATATTTATTAAGAAATATTAGGTGGGCGTGAAGAGATCTTGCGATATCTCGGTAGCGTCCAACGTTGTAAACTCCAGTTATAACGATCAGCAACCACCCTGAGAAATTACCGAACACGAATAGGAAACTGGGAACCTGATCTCACTTTACTTGATCTATTGGTTTTTGGATATTTGAAGTCATATCCTTGTCAGTGCAGTAAACCATTTTCATTCAGGACTCTAGCACACTAACAGCACGCTCCGATAAGACAAAGGCTAGTTAACCCATGAATTAGACCAACTCGGTTTTAAAGTGAATGCACGGTGTTTGGAAGTGGTTAAGGATGACGAGTGCAGGTGCAATTTCCATAGCGTTGGAAGACCAAAAGACATGAGGATAGCGGGAACCGATTTGGTTAAGCAGATATTCCGTGGAAGGTACTTAGTGCCCCGGGACGATCATCCTCAATGGTCTGTACTTGACAGAAAGCACAAGGAGCTAATTCGTATAGACGGGAACGTATCCACCACCATTTCCCTCCTTGCAGGTGTAATGAGAACGACAGTCGAGAAGGACTTGCTTGACAGATAACAGTGATCAATTGTTCGCGTTCGGAAAGTTGAAAATTGCTACCCTCTATTGAGAAGCGACGCGTTCTGAAGGGGAAACTAATCAAACATTTAAAACCTAACAAAATTCCCGAATAAATTCGGTGAGAACATGCTTTTAAAATATACTTAAACTGCATGCTCTTCACTGCTTTACTGTAAGCAAAATTTTGTTTTTTGAATGCTATCCTCGTTTAGATTTATAGTTCAGTGATTATACTTCAAGGCTCTGAACAATCGAATTTCGACAAGTTACACCACTCAGCCTCATGGCCGGCCATCATACGTTGGTAGTTTCCTCATCCTTTTCACTTTGCTCGGAGACCTTGAAAGAAGGGAGTGTTCAGCTAACACGTCATATATCAACTTACAAGGAACCGAGTTTATTGATGGTTACATATCCCTGAGCCTTGGACACATAATAATTCGCCCCAACTTCAGTCTGAAAATACGTGGTAATCTCAACAATCCACTTATCCGGCTGAATACTGGCTTTCAGTCACAGCCGCCCTGAGTTATATTACATTATTAACATGAATGTATGATCAAGATCGTGTACGCAAGATTTGTGAAAGATGCACGGTGCCGCTATAGAAGGCAGCGTAGGCTTACTTGTGGGTACGCTAATATTCAAGCTCAGTTGGCACAATCATGCGTAATTGATATTTGATGAAGCCTGAAATTTATCAGCTACCTAATGAAGGAAATAAGTTGCTTTGACACAGCACTGTCGTCCACTGTCGGTGTGGGAAACCGCTAATGTACCGAGTGTCGAGGTACATATCCATGGAGGCGGCCGTTGTCAGCCCGACTGATTTTACCAGTTGGTGCTCCCACTACTGTGCTTTCGCAGGCTTGCTTTTCCCACTAAACATAACGCTGAGCAAACAGGGCTCCTTGTAAACGTGACGCTTACTTAGGTGCCAAAAAACGAAGAAGCCAGTCACTTAGCGGACACTAAGTAAGACCTAGACACCATTTAAGCAAAAGTGTGCATCATTGGAGAAATCACCCAACTTACCAAGCATTGACGACGTCTCCTTGCATTGTGACGAAACGTTCTCAATCTACTTGTCAAGCTCAATGTACGGAACAACTGCCACCTGACAAACAGCCAATCAGCTCACCTGAGCCACCAATATTTAGACAAGTTGCTAGCCTTTGCCAATGCTCGGATGATCTGTCCAACCATGTCAGTTGTTCTGAAGCCTTCAACCGTCTAGTCCCTGGATCATGTTTGCATTTTTTCCAGTGGCCTCCTGAATGGCGCGGTTAAGCTAATTCACACATCCCCCGATGCATTTGTCTTATGGAACCACCAGCTGAATATCAGTTATGCTAAACGGTCAGGTAACTCTAACAGCCATTGTGCGGTATCGAACAGTGCGTTTGTCGCCGGACACTGGCGGTCTGGCGACTACAACCGAACTACCTCTGAACTTGCGATTTTCACAAATCTCACAAACTGTGAGATTTCTGTTGTTTGAATCAGGTATCTTCAGTCTGTTATACGACTCACCTGGAATCACTGTCAGCCACCAGTGTAATCCTTCTAAATTTCAAGGTCAATATAAGCAACTGAGCCTGAAAACGAAATGATATCTCTTTTAGTGACCCTAAGTTCCTAGTTTTTAGAACAGCACTCGTCGGATGCTTGAGGACCAATATCGTTCAACTCTTTGTTGCCGAGGGATGCTATGAAAAATTGTTGAGATCGTGTGGCCGTACCCCGTACACCGCTCTTATCGTTACACGGAAAATGCAATGCCTGTTTCAATTTCCTTTTATAATCAACATCACCCTCATCATCATCGTTACCAACATTATCAGCATTATCTTTACCATCAACATCATCACCAGCAGCAGCATGTTTTCACAAACGACGCACAGGCAGACTACTAAGAATCCCTGAGAATCATCAGGGACAGTTAAGACCTTAGTAACGCGGTTCCAGCGCTTGACACTGAACACATAATGGATTAGGAAAGCTTGGAAATTTTGACTCGGGAACCAAGCCTTGAGAGGAGGACTAGGTTGTTCTGAGATGGAAGAGCAAGACTCCAAACTAAACTCAAACTTATGGTAGTTCTCCCCAACCCAGTCATTGTAAATTTTGTCATTCACACGAACCGACAAGGTGATTTGTTTAAAAGACGGTCGGAAGACACCTCACCGATCAGTTCTCCGTCTGCTTTGAAGCTCGACCAACCGGATGAACTATTGATTCGGCCTGGCAAAGCAATTGTGTTAAAATTGAAACATTACCCACAAGTAAATTCGACGATTTGGAAGACCATTTATGCAAAACAAGACCTGTTTTCTACAATGGGTCATTAACTTCATACGTTGCAGCATTTTGGAAATAGGCAGTTTCGAGGGATCTTACAGCCGAAGATATTTTGTACCAGTAGGCTGAATACCCCCAATAGTACTGGCATCAATACCTGCGAGTTGATTAAGGTTGTTTAAAGACAGAGAGGACTATGCTTTTACACGGCATCCATGCATCCCTTTTGAACACTTATATCATGCTGTCAATGATAATGATGATCGTGGGCAATAGGTTTTATTTTCTTGAATTTGGATTCGTCTGCAACAACAACATTCCCCTTATTAATACAATCAGGCTTATTCGCCAAGACAGACCCATTTACTTGCTTTATAAGGTAAAGCTTAGTCTTCCTAATCAAAAGCTGTTTCAGTCTTAAACTGTAGCTGAGGTGTTGACATGAAATGGCCAACATCGAATTCACTTGCTACAAACTTGGATCACAGGATTTACTACCTCGTGTAGCTAATCATATGAACTCTCAAACTTGACTTCAAGATCGAGTTGACTATCTTTGGGACTGAGAAAAAACATTTGGCCTCAATTAAAAACACCTCCAAAAAAACCAGTGCGTAGCATTAACGACGAAAATTGCCTATGTACCGTTCCGGACTCGCCGGAAGCTCGGTGTGAGGCGGTAAGGTATCGAGATTGTTGTCAAGTTCCTCATCCCTGGCATCAGTCAGTTGAGTGTTACTGTTTCGAGTGCCCGCAATGACATCTCAACAATCGAATATCATCCGTGTCTCACATGCGCCCACATATTACGTTTTTTGCTCCCCCTCAGTGATTCACGAATATCCTCGCGGATCCAGTACAGCGCATCCTGGCTTTCACAGATTTCGCACTTCACCTCAGTCACTTCTGAATTTTCTTTATCAAGCATAGATTTTTGGACTGCCTCAGCTGACCGAACAAACACCTGCAACTCATAAAAAAACGAATGCTGCAATGATAATCGTAGAAATTTAATTGTTCTTACACTGTGGAATTGTTGAAAAACCAGTTCAATTTATGCAACAATAGAACATATGGAAACAGTCCGTCTTGCTGCTGATCGGCAATAAAACAGTTCACTGCTAGTGCGAAACTTTTCAACGGAAAGATTACATACTACACGTTATGCACCATTAGCTTCATTCTTCCCATTGAAACAGCAGTCGTGATTTTGTCTGCGTTCTCCGTTTTCGAGGTATACGCATTATACGCCACGAAAAATCATACCAATTAAGCTGTTTGCGCGTCAGATGCATCTCTTGAAAGTATTTGTCGGAAAATTTCCAAGTAGCGTTTCTATGTCCACAGAGGACTAGTTGGAACAGCGTATTTTTCATCCACCCTTTCACCGCCTGGATATTCCGCATATGAGCTTGGATAGCATATTAGGAATATATATATAT